AAAACACTGTTCTAAGTGGCACTAGCTATAATAAAAAGAGAGAAGTCCGGGGGATAAAAAAACGTGTTCAAACTCCAGGCACGATTGAGAACTCATGATAAAAGCAGGGTTGCAATCGTATCGTTTTGGAAATAAGGCGTTTGGAGTCAGCCCCAGACGCCTCTGCTAACCTCCAAGCAAGAACACCGGCCCGGGACGCTCCCTCACACTTCTCCCCCGGCCTTGCACGCTTCCAAACCCGTTGCAAGAGTCACACCCGCGCCGGGCCGAATAAAGCTGATGCCTTCCTGTTGTTTTCGGTGGGACAGGATGTCTCTCGGAAGGAAGCCACAGATAAAGGGAACAAAATGGTGGAGGGTCGCTTGCCCCCTCTTTGACGCCTTCCTGGCGTGGACGTCTCCCCTGCCCTCCTGCGGGAACGCTCTGTGCCAGCTTTCCAAAAGAGCCGGCTGCCTCGGAAAGACGGTATCAACGTTGGGTCCGTCTCCTCTCGAAGTCAGAAAGTAGGAGAACCTGATCGTGGGGGAGCCTCCGAGCTCCATCTACCCTCTAAAAAAAGCCCCCCCACCATTCAATTGACACGCTTACCTGCTTTCCAGCCTTCATGAATGGACGGCAGGCCGGCGGATCGTTCCTCGGGCTCTTTTCGCAACCCACGAGCGCGGCCTTGGCTGGGCGCTGATCTTGCTCAACGTTCCCCAGAGGAATGTGGGTCAGATCCTATCTCTCTTTTCGGTCCCTGCCCGCAGCAACAACTCTGGCACGCAGACAGACTTTTCTGGACACGGAAGGCTGAGAAAGCAAACGCGGCTGGAAGGTCACAGCTGAATAATCGTCGCAAAAGCAGAAACACCCAGCCCTCTTCTGATGTCCTTGCGTCTGCGGCCGTCCCCCGTTTCTAGCAAAACATCGCCAGGGGATTAACCCTAACCTTAGCCAGCCCCAAAGGAAGGGCTTCAACCTTGGGATGAGTCAATTTAGACCAGATCTTCGGGCACCCCTGGTGATCTTCCAAAACTCCTCGGTGTTTCTTTCTGCCCTGCGCTTCTTAACCACCCATGGAGTTCGAGGCAAGAGGATGGCTAAGATTCTCAAGGAGTTGGAGCTCTGCGACTCCAGAAGATACTAGGTTGGAAAGGAGAGGAAATGTCACGTTCTTCTTTGCTTTAGCAGCCAAAGATACGCTCAGCTGAAATGCTCCTTGCTCCTTTAAAACAAAGCACTTTGAAAACTAAAGAATAATAGATGGACTGGGGGTGGACTGAGTACAAACTCCTTATGTCCATCCGAGCTAAAAGGGGATCTTCGTGAAACTGACACCCTTGTATCGTTGCTTGGATGACCCTCAACTTCTGATTTTTCTCAGTTGGCTGATGGAAACCTCCATAGGGGAGCTATTCGATTCTGGGGAAAGCTTCCACATTTGACTCCCGAAACTCCTAAATGGGAGGACTAGATGAGGGAGTTGATTATTTCATACATTTTTAACACGGATTTTGCAGTGCGTTAGGGTGTGTAGACTTCCAGCTCCTAGAATGACCCAGCTTGCACAGCCACCGATGAGAATTTGAGAGAGATGACTTCAATCTCATTTGATGAGATTGAGAGCTGATGTTTTGGAAACTCTTGAGAGGCATCCTGTATAGCCAGTTTATTAATCATGTCTGAGAGCTTTTTCTTCCATGAATTAAAAATGTAGATCAGGGCGTTCTTCCACATTGCTCCCAAGCATGCAGAAATTAGGAAAAAAGAGAACGTGAATGAATGAGAGACGCTCAACTGATTAGTTTTAGGAGGAATGGCATTCCTGCAAAAAGAAAGTTAATAACACAACGTATCTTACTCCTTTGTACTTCGAATTTCGTTCTTCCCTCTAGGAAGGTTGGGCTGAAAGATATTGAGTGACCCTCAATTGCCTTGCAACGCTGTGATTCATTGGTGATTGGACCTGAACATCCCCAGTTCAAACTTGAAAATCACGGCCATCCCACTGTATTGAAAAAGCTGGGCCAAAATATCATCTTTTTCAACTTGCTTTTGGCTTGAGCTCCGTAAGGGTGGCAGGAGTCTGCCTGCAGGGCCATCAGTGCCCTTCTGGAGAAGCTCTCTGTTGCTCGTCGAGAATTGGGGGCCTGGCCCTCACAAGCATTGGCCATCCTCTTTAGAGAATGGCAATGCTCTCAGGATGCTAAATGTTTCCTGTTGGCCCTAGCCAGAACAGAGGACCTTTATAGACGGCCCCACGAATGCTCCATGGATCTATATTCCTACTCGTAAGCGCAAGAGTGGCCCCTATTGAACTTCAGGACCACGGACAGGTCTTGCAACGTCAGGACCGCGGACAGCTCCCCCATTGAGCCCAAGAGCGGCAACAGCCAAAATGTTGCTTCGGCAACATCAAGGATGCTCCCTGAACCCGATTTTAACACTCCTCCTCTCGAGCCCAAACGCTTCTTGAACTCAGACCCCCTCCAAGGGAAGATATTTGAGGCAAGAGGAGCCATTGCTACGGAGACTCCCGTGGCAAGAACCCAAGGACAAAGTCAATGGTTGTAGATCTTTTCAAGGCAGGCCAACTTTCTCTTGAAGATACAGCCTTCTGGGAACATCCCGGGTAGCTTTCCTTTCTCCAAAGGGAATGTGTAACGCATCTTCAGAAAGAAAGCAAGAGTGGAATGAGGTCGTGCTGCACACACCACGCCTGAACTAATCATTTGTAATCAGAACATCACGTTTGCTTCCATTACAGCAAGACGCTATCTCCCATGGAATAAAAATGTGGGGCTAATGCTGTGTTGTGGTGAACGAAGACGCAATGTTAGTGCTTTAATTAGCAATGTTGTGGTTAGAACACATAAGTGTGTCTTCAGTACCCATGTTAAGAAGGTACTTAACATCAAACCAGAGAATTGTTTCATCTCGCACTGAAAGCTATTTGTTGGTTTCCCAAGATGATTTCCCCCAACAGCTTCTATCAGACCTTCTGGAAATTGAACCTGCGTGGAGCTCTACAAAGAGAGAAAGGGTAATGACTCTATTCATCTTGATAATTTGAAAGCAGGAAATCCACTTTGAGAAGAAACATGGAAGCAAAATAGCTCCAGGGAGGCTTATCCTTCAAATAATTAATGCCACTTTTTTATTTTCGAAAGGGAAGTTTTCATCACCTGAACTATATATACCTTTTGAAACATGGGCAAGCAGGAAGAAATTCTCATTCCCCAAAGTTTTTCTTGATGGATAAGATCCCCCCAATCAGGAAGAGGTCATGAATCATTTTGCAATGCCCTACCCCACTGCAGGATCCAAAGAGAAACCCATACAAGGTTTGAGTCTCTGAAGAGAGTCAGAGGTCAAGCCAAACTTCTTACTCAAGGGCGTGAAAATAACACTAACGTGCTCTGATTTCTTTCTCCAGAGATGGGAGTTGCTGGGAAGTTGCAGAAGCCCGCGTGACCTTGTTGGAAATGTCCAGTTGTGTGAGCAGAAATGAACTGCTTGAAGTGGAGGAAGACAGTTCAGGAACCCGACCAGAAGTGGCCAGGTCACCGGACAGTTGTGGCCAAGAACGCATGCCACGGGGACTGAAAAAAGTAAGGCTTCATCCCACTTTGGGGGAGCTAAAGACAGCCTGGAAAAAGTGGGATGGTGAAAGTTTGATCAGTTGATACTTGGAAGAGAAAGAAGACGAGAGAGATTTGTTTTCTGGCAATGGGGTTCAAGGATCACGAGTCCTAATTAGTGCAGACTTTGGTTCATTCATAAAAACTGGCTTTAGCTCTGCCCAACCCCTCCCCTTGCTGTTAATTTTGGGAAAATGCACGCTCAGAGGGTTTAACTGCCTGTTCCAAACTCTGCAAAGGAAGACAGTGAGTAACAACGATGATGTTTGAACCACTGTACAGGTGTTACATCCAGTAACATCCACGCCTTCTGCATCTCTTGGAGTTAACATCCAAGCTCAATTTCCCTCTCTGTACTTTGAGAAGTTGTGACTCCAGCCTGCCGGAATTCACTGGACAAACAGTGCCTGCGCTGGGGGCCCACCCATTGCATTGGAAGCTATACATTTCAAGGCCTGGGGAACACCCCTAGTAGCAAGGGATGCTGGACTCTGATTGCAAGGAGTAAATCCAACCGGATGCATGCATCTATGGTGCTCTTTGGAAGAAATGCGATGGGAATGGAGTGACATCCTTCTGGGTAGGTCTTTATAAAATTGCGTGATAAGGAGCAATTGTGATCTTTGACATCAGGGGTGGGCAACCTTATATTTTAGAAGATAGTTTCCAAACAGTAATCCCTTCTAAGTGGCCGTGCTAGTTGAGTGGGTTCAAAACATCTGGAGAACTTCTAGTTGCTCGTCTCTCTCAAAACGTGGGCACTGCTGCCCTCCCCGCTTCACCCCAAGCATAATTTGTTTGGACATTGAATCGTCCGGCAAGATTTTGATTTCTTACCAAGTCACCCTTTATTCAGAACAACGCTCCTCTTTGCATCATCCGCCCCAAAATCACAAAAAGGATAGCGACAAACACATTCATTCTTTTCCCGTGATTTTCCGAAGAACCAGGTTTAAGCAACACGTCTATCTTTTAAAGAGAACCCTTGGATAGATTTTGCCGAGGCAGCTGAAGCCCTAAGATGATCAGGGGGGTAAAAAGAAAAAAAAGAATGACATTCTCATGGGAATTTCAAGTACTACAAACCAATCCAAAATCTTTAGGAAAGGTCTAATGAGGCCTCCCCAAGCCTCTGAAAACTGATGAGAATAAGTGCGGGCAACTTGTCTTGATTCAAAGTTAGTCCCGGTGCTCCGTCCCAGACGATCCAGCCTTGGAGGAAATGAGGCCCCGAGAACTGTGTTTCCAACGAAAGGGGAGATTTCAGACTCCCTTGAGAAAGCCCACGAAGGGTCACGGTTGGGCTGGGAGAATCACTTGGGGTTCTTCATGTCCAGTTTGATGAAGAGAGCTGCAGCCAGAGAGACGGGAGCAAAGGAAGGGAGAACGGGGTGAGACTCGGCCAGGGAGTCGCCAGTTGGGAGAGAAGACGTTGATGTCTCCGCTTTGGCAAAGCTGCCGGTCCCGGATCCCAAGGTGCTTCCACCCCACCTATCCACACCTGCGTGAAGACCCCTTTCAGCACTTCCACGCCCTGCCCTGCAGAAAACAGAGACCCCCGTCTTCTACCAAGCCTGCCTTCGCTCCAAAGGCAGCTTCCAGGATAAATCAAGAGGATGAGAAAAGGGAGTGGACTGAGGGTGAAAACTGGAAGCAGAGGAAATAGATGGCGAGTGCGCCTCTGTGCCCTGTTCTTCCCCTGTGGCAGTGTGGCACGGCAGGGCTTCTTGAGAAAAGAAGTATGGGCGAGAGCCGAGTTTGATTTGGGAGGCGCCTACCTGTGGCTTCTGCATGAACGTGACGACCATCTGCACTCCGCATACCCCCGGACATGAACGTCTTCTTCTCTTCCATCTTCTCCACCTTGGTTTCCACAAGGACCACGGAGCCCAGTGGGATGGGGCTGGAATGGGAATGGTGGGTTTGTCATCAACCAGAGACCTTTCCTGGCAGCTAAATCTCTCTGTGGGTTCTCCCCCGCCCACAAGTCAAGGGAGAGTAAGCTGCCTAGCACAAGCTATATCACCCTCCCTTCTCCTGAGTTACACCTACTTGTTGGCCTGGCTTTGTTGGCCCTAGACCGAGGAGGAGACACAGACTGCCTAGGACGACAAGCCGGGTCAGTGTTGACGGGCGAACTCTTGCTTACCTTTTGTAGTTTATGGAGAGGTTGGCGGTCATCCCTACTCCGAGGGCACAGATGGCGCAGCTTGCAAAGGTGTGGTCGAGGATGGCAGCCATGGCCCCACCGTGCATGAATCTGGATCGAACAGGAGACAAAATCAGAAGAGGGGGAGGCGGCTGAGCGAGGGCCATGGGCTGTGAGAAAAGAGGAGGAAGAGCCGCAGCCAGGGCGACGGCCGGATAAGAGGTATCTCAGCCCACCGAAGGCATGGGAGTGTGGAAGATATCCCAGAAGGGACCCTCCCTAGTTTCTTGGGCTGCAAAGGCGAGGGAGGACAGAGAGATGTGCTTTCAGACTTGCAAGTTTGTCTTAACTGTAACCCTACCTTAAAAGTAGTGTTAGTACTCAGGGTTTGGGACCACCTCGAAGGGCTGACAGCAAGCATCCCCAGTGAAACAACATAACAAACTGGAGAGAGCGAACAAGGGCATCTCTGGGTGCGCATGGGTGTAACTAAAAAGAGCTCTGATGATTAGGCACAGACTAAATATTCGTGCCATGGGCTGTAACGATAACCTTGATGAACAGGAGGAAGAGCTGCAATCAAGATGACAATCAGGTAAAAGGAATCTGAGTCTGGGCCAGGAGCGTCATCTGAGAAAGCGTCCCAGGCTTGACGAGGCTAAGCCAGGCCGCAAAAGTTTTGCAGAAGTTTTTCTTCTGCAGTGAATTTCGCCTCTGTTCCAAAAAGCCAAAAGGAACCTCGGCGGGGGAGACAACGCGGTTGAAGTGATGGCAGGTACCATCTCTTTTCTTCTTCCTGCTTTCCAAAATCAGTTTCGCGGTTGTAGGGCGTGGGCCTGGAAAAGCGAGGCGCCTTTCTAACATTCATGTTTTTCCTGCCAGGGAGCAAGGTTGAAAAAAAGATCCTCCTTGCCATAGAGACATCCAGGGCGTGTCAGGAGATTCAGCCTGGCTAGCGGCAATTTTACTTATTACGTATTTAATTCAGGTTTGGGGCTGCCCATCTCCTGAACAAATCTATTGGAATGTCTTTCCTTCTCCTGATGAAACCCAGGAAAAGGTTTATTAATAGTATTTTTTTAAAAAAAATCCTCCTCCAAGATGAATTGGGCAGGACGGCTTAAAGGATGCAAGAGTTTCCGGCGCCAGGACATTTTTCCCGGCTCCTGTCCGGCATCCCTCAAACTGAATTTAACCAGGTTTATCCGCAGCCTCGCGTTTCCATGATTGGAATAAGCGAGGAGGTGTTTTTCCTTGAAAGTGAGGAAACTGGGGGAATAGGGAAGAAAGCCCGACCGGGCGTGGAGAAGGCTGGCGTTTCCATCAACCCGCCGCCCGCTCGAGCTTACCCGATCATCCCTTCCAAATACAGACCCGGCTGGAGAAGTACCACCATTCGTTTCTCCGCGCCGTTGAAAAACATAGCGAATTCAAACCCGCGGCCTTCGGTAGCCACGTTTCGGACAAACAGAAGGGTGCCTTCTAGCTTTTCCACATTGTATTCTGCTTTGCGGTAGACTGCAAGGAAAAAAGAGAGAGAGGGGAGCCAAAAAGAAAAAAGAAGTGTAAAAGTTGGAAACGCCATATCGATCGGATTTAGGTGCCAGCTTTTCTCCAGGAGGCTCCGTTCTGGAAGAACGCTGCCACGGATGGGGATGGAGTTGGCGTTCCTGTTTTTTTTGTTTTTAAATTTAAATCAATTTGCTTCTGGCGGATCCTCCACAGCCGTCTTCTTCAGGGTGGAGAATTCTGGGAGTTGACGTCCACACGTCTTCAAGGGGCCAAGGTCGAGAAACAGAGTCCTAGACAATCAGATCCTCCTTCGAAGACTGGGGGTCAGGGTCCCACCTTAACCGCTTGGAAGGAACAAAGTGACCGCGGGGGAACCGTTGAAGGGGGATGAAGACACTGACCTGGAATGGAGTCCAGGGTATTGTTATAACTCGGGATCCTTTGCCACGATCTGTCTTCGGACTTCTTGGTGAACTTCTCAAACTGGCCCATCATCTCTCGGCTCCAGCTAGGGTTGGGGAGGCCGTGGTCTATGAGGTGCTGGTGGGGCTGTTGCTGGGGAGCAAGGCAGAGAGGGTGCTCGCGTGGAGGGCCGCTGTCGGGCCCCCGAGACGCTCGGCGGCACACGGCTGGGTTATATCCTCGCTGCCCGTCCCTAAGGTCTGCCAGGGTGGGCAGGCCCCGGGTGCCCCCTGTGAATGCAGGAGGTGGATCTTCTCTGGAGCCTTCAGCATCTCCAGCATCAGATGGAGACGAGGGATGTTTCATCCGTGGGTCCCAACCACACGCGTTCAAGTTGCTTAAAAAACGTTCAAGGGGACACTTACACGCCCAAAGACCCATCATGGGACGGAGCCCGCCCTACGAAACAGCATGCTGTGAGATTTGGACGGCCTTGACCCTGCTGACCTTCCACAAGGCTTTGAAAACCTGGCTCTTACCCTCAAGGTTGAGCCCGTTGATGGAATGATTGTGGTTGGCTTTGGATTTATCAAGACTTTAACTTTCTGGATATTTGACTTGTTTTTACTCTGATGTTAGTGTCGCAATGGAAGGGTTGGGCAGCCATGAGCGCTGATTAAAGAGATAAATGAAACAACATTTTCACCAATGAGTGGACTTAGCGTGGGCTTCCATCCACACTGCCTTGGATTCGACAGACTGGGAAACGTTTGGGGCAGGGTCTAATGGACGACCAGGCGTTGAAAAGGAGCAGCCATCTCTGAATAAATTAAGTCTAATTCAAGTAAGAGCAAGGGATCGGGGCAACCGAGTTGGGGCAGCTTCGCCAGATAACTCCTTTGGGAACCCAGGACCTATTAGATGGTCCTCCAAAACCAGGGATGAAAAGTTCTACTTTGGGGGGTGTCCTTCCCATTCCTTTTAAACCCTCCCCAATACTCACAGTGGAGGTCCTCCTGAACAGCACGTGAGGATGCCGGGCGAATAGTTCTTTCGTGGTTGCCAGACAAGGTACCCTGGTGGCCAGTCCCTTGACCGCCTGGCTGAAGCTCCTCAAGATAGTATGCATTTTGATCTTCTGACTTGCTGAGCTTCGGGAAGGGTGTCCTATGTCTTCTCCTCACTGGTTCCTCATTATGTGCAGCCTGCACCCCAAAAGCGGTGGCTTTAATAGGCTCTTCCCATCAATCAGCAGCGGAGGAACACTCACCCAGGGCCAAATGGAGTAACCCTGTGTGCTCCTCCTTCTGGTGAAGGCACGCCCGTAAATTAGAAGGGCTGAACTTTACTTGAATTGCTTCATTTTTTCCATTATCTGCCGGGAACTTCCAGGGTAGACTCAGGTCTGATCACCTGACTTTAAACCCACATCTGGAGAATTTTCCCTGGGCAGACAGAATATAGATGCTGTCGCTCGACTGGTATTTAAGATGTCAGTAGATACAGGAGAGATGCCCAGATGTGCAGACATGATTTATTCCTCCCCAAAGTTGTCCTCCTCAACTTGGCAGATGTGTCTCCACTGTGGCATCCCAATGGGCCATCCCACTGGTAAACATCTCCAGATGTTTCCCACTGTTGTCTTTTAACCACACTGATGGAAAGGGGCTGAGCTTTTTCTGCTCCCAAGTACACACAGTGGCAATCTAACTTCATATTCGTGTTGATGTTACTCATCTACTCCAGAAAACGCTTCACTGGACCTCTTTCTGACCCTGTAGGCTTCCCCGTTCAACCAGACATGCATACAGTCTCTCTGTAAGCGGCTTCCCTACTCCCTGGACATCTATGTACCAACAAACCACTTAGGATGTGCGTGTGCGTGAACATCAGTCCCCCTGAACGTTCCTTAAATGCCCTGAATGCGCCTACTCGGCATACATGGAAGAAACATCCTTTGTTGGGCGTTTCCCACTTTCGTTCAACCCCAGAGGGGTTGTAGGGCAGGAGTTAGCCAACGAGGGCTTCCTGATGTTCAAAAGGTAGGGGTGTGTGCGTGTTCGGGTCCCCGTTTACAGAATTGGCTGGTATCTCGTTTTTCTGCCCAGCAGTGGCATAAACCGGGGTTACAGCCTCCCAGTGACGCAAGGTTCCCCCGTATCAGGAGAACCAAGAATAGTGTCTGAAGTACACTTCTCCCTTTTCTTTCCAACCAATTTGTTTTTTGCCTCGTGCCTTTTAGGGAGTAGCCAGAAGAGCAAAGAGCGTCTCCCCTTGAACCCTTTTCACAGAAGGCCCTCTAAAAATTGGGCCCATCAAGGTTAGCACTGTAACCTCCACCAAGCGGAAGCTCACAATCGAAGAGCTGGCTCTCACAGATCGAAGCTGACATGTTACGGGACCTTGGTGTGATCCACGGCGGGCCTTTCCGATTCAGCGGTGTACCAAGAGAATAAACAAATGACAACGCAGTTAAAATAAAAATAAAATCAATTGCTCCCGACGGCGGGGGTGAAGATGCAAGGAAAGGATGCTTCGATTTTTCTCTTGAACTGTCTTCCCCGGTTTAAATTAAATTAAAGGGAAGCAAGAGAACAATGCCTGGTATAGTAAGAAAGTTGACCGGTGCCGCCGCAGAGATTTTGGGGGTGTGAATGTTGCGGGGAAGCTAGATCAATCGGGCCAGCAAGAAATACACAAGGACTATTGTATTAAGATGGCCCTGTTCACCCTGGGCATTCAGCCCATCCCTGAGCAGCGATTTGATCTCAAAATGTGACTGATCTGCGATCTTCCGTGGGAGTCCCAAGCCAATGCAAGGGCTAGCCCTCCTTCCCACACATCAATCAGCAGGACAAACAGTTACCTGCCCTGCCCAACACATTACTCCATTTTAAAAGAACTTCCACACTGAACCAATT